AGCAGATGCATTCCGGGCACTGGGGGATGGCACAGAAGGGGACACAGGAGACGGTGAGCTTGGGACTGAGCCGGCTGAATGGAAAGGACCACCACTCAGCTGTGTGTGCAGCTGCGTCAGGGTCGGGCTCAGCACTGGGATGCAGAGCCAGCGATGGTGACACATGCGTTGCTCACCCACCCGGAGATCAGCCTGGAGGAAACACAGGAGGCCTGTCGGCAACGGCAATGCTCACCGCGGGCCCTGCCAGCACAGCGAGGGCCATTCCAACCTCCCTGACAGTGGGGAGGACTCTGCAGGGGCTTCATCTGAGTCCTGGAGGCTCCCGGGGTTCACCTGCATCTACACCACGCTCCTCCTTCCAAAGCGGGAGGAGGTTCTAGGGGGTGGGTGGGGGTGAGACTTACAAAGCACGTCACACAAAACCAACACAGCAGCAATGGTCAGATCAAAGAATGACCAAGGTCTCGCGCAGTCCTGGCAATCTCTGTGTTTGTCACAGCCGCCCAGGAAGGAAGCAGCCCAGAACGCGCCGTCCGCCGTCGGGCCTCAGCACATTTGCCCACACAGGGGGCCTGGCAGTGGAGCACAGGCTCCCCTCCCCAGGACCCTCCCCCCTGGGCGTCTGTGCGACTAGACTTTCCTTCACCTCTCTGCCTTTTTTCTCAGTCTGATGTGCTGACAAGACCTTTCCTAAGGCCACAGAGCTTGGAAAGGGACAGGGGAAGTGTACTCCCTCCCCTCCCTCCACCACTATTGCAGGAGTTCAGGAGGGTGGTGGTCTGACACACACGTGGCAAGGTGATCAGGAGTTGGGCAGGGGACGGGGGCTAGTGTGCAAAGACAGGCACGTCATTCTGCCGTCTGCGAGGAAGGATTTCCGGGAGGACAACACAAGAAACAGACCTGCGTTTCAGACCCACCACTTTGGCTCAGGTGAGAAGGGTGAAGTCGAGGAGCTGAGACACAGCCAAGAAGAGCAGCCAGGAGCAAAGGCTACCATCCTGGACGGAACTGAGGAGCCACAGAAGCAGACTATATGGTAGAAGGGACGGACAGGAGGGCCAGGATCCGGGGTACTGAGGAGGAATTTCTGGGGCGCTGGAGGTGAGGGAAGACACTGCCACCCAGACATCCTGTTTTAGCGAACAGGTGGACCATGGCAGAGGCACTGGGTGGGGCACTCTTGGGGCACAGATGGTGTGCTGGGTCACCAGAGGTTCATCCGAGACTGAGGTTCCAAAACTGCACACAGTGGAGGCAAACTGTTGATAGACACCAGAGATTCAAAATCCCTAGAACACAGACCCCAACGCTGAGCCCATAGATACGAGAGCCCCCTCGCTAGGTGCCTGCCAGCCCAGGCAACCTTCTGGGGAGGGCAGAGTCCAGGCACAGACTAAGTAAGTAAGGGATGAGGCCAGTGGAGAGGGTCAGTGGAGAGCGCACAGGAAGGGAGGACAGACCTGCTGACGCTGCCCCATTCCAGCTCCAAGTAAGAGCTGATGGGGCAGGAGAGGCGGGGTACGGGAGCTGGCTGCTCAGAGCGCCACACACCCACCAGGCAAGGACCCCAGCGCCAGCCCCGCACAAGATCCTTCAGGCAACCACCAGCCCCTTAGGCAACTCACTCCAGCCTGGGGCTCCCCTTGCCGCCCCTGAAGTGAATGAGGCGGCCCAGCCAGGGCACAGAGGCCCTTTACACCTCTCCCAGGGAGAGCTCCCCAATCCTGGTGGGGAGGAGCTGCGGGAGCAAAGGCAGGGACTGAGAAGAGCAGTGTGGTGCCCCTACACCTCCACCCCCAAGCTAAGGACCGGGAGGAAAAGGAAGGCCCAGAGGTTTGGGGAGGTCTAGCCTTTCTCCCGCTTCCCCAAGCCTGGAATGACTCCGTACACACCTCCCGTCTCCGCACCCACGGAAATTAATCCCACAGTCGCCTCAGCCTCTGCTGCAGGACGGCGAGGGGCCCCAGCCCGGCGTGGATACTCCCTCCCAGGCCCGAGCGCCTCCGCACCAGCACGGCCGGCACTTACCACACAGCAGCTACTATTCCCGCCCGGACACCGATCTGTGAGCTGGAGCCCAGGATCCCCCCCACAAGTGAGGTCACTTGAACCCCTGGAAGTTTAAGGAACTTGCCCGAGAAAGGCTTCAGTTTCTCCTCTGGCCTAACTCCAAAGCCCACAAGAAGCCTGGCAAGTCACTTCTCCGCAGGCCTTAATTTCCTCAGCTGACATGGAGGTAACTTTAGTGCTGCCTACCTGACCAACAGGTTGCAAGGCTGCAAACAACTCCACATTTAGCTAAAACGTGAACAGCCTACCGGTGGCCTTCACAGCCTGCCACTCCAGGAGCCTTCCAGACCCTCAGCACCGGCTGCCCGGGCCTCACCCACCTGCGCCCAAGCGGGGCCTGGACAGCCTCCCGCCCGGACCCGGGCCTCCCCGTCTCCCCTCTCCCCCTCCCACCTCCGGCGCCTCCCCTCCCGCCAGCAGGCCCCGGAAGTCCGCGCCTGACCTTCCGCCTCGCGCCAGCAGCCACCGCGCAGTCGATCGGAGCCTGTCTGCGGGTCCGTCAGCCTAGCGCTCCTCCCGGCGCCGCGGGGGCGGGCCCCGCGCCCGGCCCTCGCCATGGCAACGCGATACTTCCGGCCCGCGGGTCCCGGAGCCGGAAGCCGCGGCTGCCAGTGGGAGCAGGGGGCGGGGCCGAGCCGCGCGGGGGCGGGGCCGAGCCGCGCGGGGGCGGGGCTTGCGCTGAGCAAGTAGAGGGAGGTTGCTGACCGCACGGTGCGAACGTCGGTGGTAGGGGCGTCCTCGGCGCGGCGGGGCCCGGTTGGGGCGGGAAGGGCAAGTAGTCAAAAGGTTCCCAGGAGGGTGGTCATCTACGCTGAGCTTTTAGGGAAGGGTCAGAGTTCACTCGACAAAGCAGGGGCATCACTGGTGTAGAGAAGAGCATGCGCAAAGGTGGAAGGACCCGGTGGGAAGAATTGAGGTGGTGGTTTAGGAGGGCGGGGGCACGGTAGGGTGGTACATGCGGTCAGTGATGAACAGTCAGGACATGAGGAGCCTTGAACGCCAAACCAAGAGCTGGGCTTTATCCTGGAAGCACAGGAGGACCAGTGGAGGAGAGGGTGTGACTTAAGACCTGTTGGAGAAAAAGACCTCTTTAATGACCGAGTGGAGCTAGGAGGCCATGGGTCTCCTGGTGAGACACAAGGACCCCTCAGCTAGAGCCCTGGAAACAGACAGGAGTTGAGGAGGTGACACAGGGATCCAGAGGAAGCCAGGTGAAGTCTGAAGAAAGAGTCTGAGATAGTGGAGGGAGCCGTGTGGTACCCCACATACATCATCCATCTCAGCTCCAGGCTTCCTCCTCCACTGCACCCATCACTCACCCCTTCCCTCAGCACCTCAGTGAGAGCTGGGCACCCACTGTAGGCTGCAGATTTTCCACCCTCTAAGGGTATAACGGGTGTGTGTGTGGAAGGGGTGCTGCTGCCGCCCAAGAAAAGCCGAAATCTTAGAGTGAAGCGATAGAAAGTGTCTCCCTGTGCTTCTGTGGCTTTGCTCGGGTCTGGGGTCCTAGTAGCAACACCCCACCACTGCTGGTGTCCCGGGCCAGATGATCCCTTTGCAGATTTGCCCAGTCCTCACCGGGGGAAACCCAGGCTTTGGGTCAGGGTACAGAGCACAGGCCCTGAATGACTTGAGGGGCAGAGCCACAGACTAGATGGCCAGGGAGGAGGTCAGGGGACAGAAGGGTCTGGGACCCAGGAGGACCATGTCTCCGGGCAGCTGCCAAATGCATTTTTCCAGAATCGCACCTTTGGGCCAGGCCCTGTGCCTGCTCAAGCACTCAGAAGCTCTGGCCAGGGCTGAGCAAGGGGTGCTGGCCCTGCAGGCCCCCCCAGGCTCAGCCTCCACTCTGTCTCCCAGAGTGCCCCTCCTCTACTCAGGCCTACCCACCTCCTGCCTGGGGAGCATCTCCCTCCTAGCCTAAGCCACAGGGCGTTGGGGCTGCCTGGGAAGCCTTGTGTACCCAGACATAACACACCTGTCCTCACTCCTGCCCAGGATGATGCCAAGTGGTTCTCGCAGGCTCCCCTGGGCAGGCACCATGACTCACAGGGCTGTGTTCTCAAGGCCTGCCCCCAAGCGGTAGCCAGTAAACACCTACAGCTGGAAGGCCTCTCCTTCCATGCACACCCACCCAGGGGCACTGCCTGAGTGCCCCAGAGGACCAAGTGGCATCCTCCTCAGGGGACAACCTCCAGAGTATCTGGACCCAGAGGACCAGAAGAGGAGTAGAGAAGCAAACATACTTCCAGGAAGTTCTCTCAAGCCAGTGGGGTCCAGCTTACCCAGGACCAGTGAGGTGCACAGGGCATAATGAGGGACTATTGTTATGGTCAGCTCCCAGGACCCACCGTTGACCAGCACCAAGGAGGGAAGGAAAGTGACCTCCAGGGCCTGGGGAGCCTTCTGGGGCCATAGCAGCCTGTGGGAAAACCCCTTGAGTCAACTGTATCCCTTTTTTATTTCTGAGGTTTCCTCTAGGAAGCCCTCCCAGACCACCACCCAAGTCCTGCTAGCTGCTTGGCCTTGAACTCTGGGCAGGACCCACCCCTTCTTGGCGGCTCATCTTGGACCAGTCACTCCCCCATCTGTTAAATGTGAACCTGGGATCTAGATGGGATAAAGTAACTGTGGGTCATAAGACCCTTCCAAGGGCTTTTCCTTCCAGCTCTGGCGGGGGTGCCAAAGGCAGCCCAGGGGTGAGGAATGAGGCCTGGGTGGCCGCCTGCAGCCCCCACTGGAATCTTTCCTGCCCCTCCCTTCCAGATTAACCGAAACCTGCTAATTGTGGCTGCCCTCTGCACGCTCCCCTCCCCCACCGCGTATTTCTACCTCCCTTGGCCTCCCCTCCCCTCCCCCTTCCATCCGAATGATAAAGGGCTTGGCCCGCCAGCCCCCGCCTGGCCTCAGGCCCCAGCTCTTCCTCACCACACTACCACACTGCCCCAGTGCCCTGCGCCCACCACCCGGCCGGACCCCTGCCCACGTTGCCTGCTTCCTCTGCATGGGGCCCTGCAGCAACCCCCGCCTGGGGCTCCCCGGGGGGGAGTCGCCCTCCCAGCCCCCCCAGAGGAGGAAGAAGAGATACCTGCGGCATGACAAGCCCCCCTACACCTACTTGGCCATGATCGCCCTGGTGATCCAGGCCGCACCCTCCCGCAGGCTGAAGCTGGCCCAGGTGAGAGGATCCCCGCCCGCTCTCCCTCACACTCCATGATCGGACCTGTCCCCGGAAGCGTCCTCCACCTGGCCCCTGCTCGGAGGCTCAGGCTCTGGCCTCCACCCCGACCTGGCCCTACCCAGCCATGCCAGTGGGGCCGGTCCTGGCCTGGGCACCCAGGGAGAGAGCTAAAGCACTCAGGCAGGCCCCTTCCCGGCGAGGGGGGCCACGCAGACGCGAGGGGAGGGGCAGCGTGGCCCCCCCGCCCACGCGCCCCGGCTCACGGCGCCCGCTGCCCGCCCGATGGTTTCAGATCATCCGTCAGGTCCAGGCCGTGTTCCCCTTCTTCAGGGACGATTACGAGGGCTGGAAAGACTCCATCCGCCACAACCTCTCCTCCAACCGGTGCTTCCGCAAGGTGGGGCAGGGCGAGGGTCGGAGCCTGGGGGCGGGACGCGGGCGGAAATCCTGAGTATCCGGGGTCGTACAGCCCCACCCAAGCCTGCCCGCCTCCTCCACCAGGTGCCCAAAGATCCCGCGAAGCCCCAGGCCAAGGGCAACTTCTGGGCGGTCGACGTGAGCCTGATCCCAGCCGAGGCGCTGCGGCTGCAGAACACGGCCCTGTGCAGGCGCTGGCAGAGCAGGGGCGCGAGGGGAGCCTTCGCCAAGGACCTGGGCCCCTATGTGCTGCATGGCCGGCCCTACCGGCCGCCCAGTCCCCAGCCGCCGCCCCGCGAGGGCTTCAGCATAAAGTCTCTGCTAGGGGACTCCGGGGAGGGGGCGCCGCCGAGCAGCCCAAGTCGGTCAGGCTCAGTTCGCATAGGGGAGGAAGAGGCACCCACTCCAGTCCCCCCCTCTGAGAGGCCTCTGTGGCCCGTCTGCCCCCTCCCAGGGTCCCTGAGAGCAGAAGGGGAGACTTCCCAGGGGGGAAACAGCAGGCCCTCGCCCCTCTCCCCTGAACCCAGAGCCTGGCCCCTCCACTTACTGCAGGGTACCCCCGGCCCTGGGGGACTCCCTGGTGGAAGCCACAGGGCCTCGCTCTGGGGGCAGCTACCTACCTCCTACTTGCCCATTTACACTCCCAACGTGGTGATGCCACTTGCCTCACTGCCACCCACCTCCTGCCCCCGGTGCCCCCCCTCAACCAGCACAGGCTATTGGGGGGTGGTCCCTGAAACCCATGGTCCCCCAAGGCTGCTCTGGGATCTAGACGCCCTCTTCCAGGGGGTGCCACCCAACAAAAGCATCTATGATGCATGGGTTAGCCACCCCCGAGACCTGGCTGCCCCTACCCCAGGCTGGCTACTCTCCTGGTACAGCCTGTGAGGCTCCCAGGGCAGGGGCTGCTTTCCTCTCCCACCCTCTCCTGCCACCCTTAGGCCTGTTGAGGGGAAACCAAGGTATGTGTGGCTCCGCCTTGAGACATGAGGTACCAGCCGTGCTGAGAATCCACGTGTTTATTGGACACTCCAGAAGAGCTGTGGCCCAGCTGGGCACTACCGCAGCCCTGATGGTCAGTCATGCCTCTCTTACCCCGAGAGGCAAGGCTGGAAGGAACAGGGCTGTGCTTGAAGTAACCCTTCCTGTCCCCTTCCTGGTCCCACCTTCTCCAGCCCTCTGTCCATCCATCCATCCATCCATCACCATCTGTCACTTCCCCTCCCTGGCTCCGGGCTGGGGGAGGGAAGACCTGATGACCGCCCCAGCCGCTCCATCCCTAAGTCCTGTCCCCCCTCCACTGTTGCCTGGCAAGGAGGTAGCACCTTTCGGGGGAGGGGACGGAGAATGGAGACCCTACCTGGTTTTGGTGGTGGTAGTGGGGAAGATAAGAGTAAAGGAACAAACGACATTTTAATGCAAGTCTGATGTTTGGTGATGGGGTAGTGAGTCTGGTGGCCACTTGGCCAGGGTCTGCCTCCGCGACTCTGGGATCCCCTGCTGTGCGCGGCGATAACAGCAGATGGTGATAAGCTAAGGGCCTGGGCCGGGGCGGGGTGGGGTGGTGGTGGTGTGATCATTACCCCAGGCGGAACACTCCTGGGGGCGGGAGAGAAAGGGGTGGACTCTGGGGTACAGCGGGCCCCCAGAGATCAAGGAGGTCGTGGGGGGAATAGGGACTTTGCTGCCTCTGCCGGCAGAGACGCGACCCAGACTCCTCGGGCAGGACTACGAAGGCAGGTCCTCCGGCGGTGCCAGGGCCGAGCTGGAGCCGCTGTCCAGGCCGGGGCTTGGAGGGCTGCCGGGCGAGGGCGTGGCGGTGCAGGGGGTCCCAGAAAGTGGTGTGTCGGTGCTCAGGGAGGAGGGCGTCCCGGAGCGCGGGGCCCTGCGGGGCCTAGCAGGCCCCAGCTCCACTCGCCCCACTCGCTCGGCGAACTTGAGCGAGCACACGGTCTCGCCGAGATCCTCGGGCCGCGTGGAGACCTGCGGGGGGCGGCGCTGGTGGGCGGGCCCGGGTGGGCGGCGCCTGGCATGCAAACAACCCTCCCGCGGGCCGCGGCCGCCTGGCCCCACCTGCAGCAGCAGCACAGCGGTGGCGCCGGGGCCCAGTGCGGGCTGCAGCAGGCGCGTGAGCTGCGAGTCGCGGAAGGGCACGTGTGGCCGGCGAGCCCGCAGCGCGGCCATCACTCCTCCCAGCGCCAGCAGCGAGCGGTTGATGGTCCGAGCCTCCCGCAGACGCTGAGCGCCGTCCCGGTCTTCATGCGACGTGCCGGCCGCCCCTGCCTTCCAGGCGCGCTCGGACCCTGCCAGGTCCACTAGGTGCAGCGTGCCTGCAGGGGCGAGCGAGCCCGGCGTGGAGGGAGGCCCGGTCTCGGGTGCAGCGAAGCCCCCCGCAGGACTCAGACGCCGAGGTACCTGCGGTGCCGGGACCGCTTGATGGGGACGCCGTGCGCAGCGTCAGCGTGACCAGGGCGTGCGAACGAGAGCTGTGCTGGTTCATGGCTGTGGCGGCGGTGGCCCGGTTGCTCCTCCCCAGGTTCAGCATCTGGTGGATGGAGGACAGGGCTGGCCTGCTGCGGCGTCCGCGGCCCAGGTGGGAGTACAGGGCGGGGGCTTGGAGGGCTGCGCGGCCCCACCGGGCACCCTCACCTGGTGCAACGACTCCAGATTGGGCACGTCCCAGTGGGTGAGGCCAGCCACCTGGATCCCCCCTTCGCCTGCTGGGCCCTGCCTCACTGCCAGGCGCTGGGGAGGCCCTGGGGCCAGGAGGTCCCTGGCGAAAAAGGGGAAGGCTCTGTTGGGGGTTCTGGGGGGCGGAGCCAGAAGTTGGGGCCCCGGGCGGGGAGGAGGCACCGTTTGCGGCCCTGACCTGACAGCCTCGTTGTAGATCTCCACCATGCTGAGGGTCACGTGGTGCTGTCCCGCTGTTCCCATCTCCCGGAACAGTGACTGCAGCGCCCTAGGAGCTATGCCAGGGTCCTCAGGCGGGCCCTGGGGAGGGGGTGGGGTGCCTCATCGGGCTCACATCCCAGCCCCTGGCCCCAGGAGCCACCCAGACTGCCCCCTTTCCCACCTCCATGCTGTAGGTCTTTCCTGTCCCTGTCTGGCCGTAGGTGAAAATGCAGACACTGTAGCCTCCGAGGCAGGACAGCACAGCCGACTCCAGCTCCCTGAAGACCTAGGGGTAGGAGGGGTTGGGAGGGGCCCTAAGCCCCAGAACCTGGGGCAAGGTGTGAACAAAACTTGATTCCCCTGGAAGGAGGCTGGCTCTAGGGGAGCACAGTGGAAGAGTGGATCTCCCAACAGACAGGTGAGGCTCCCTGGAGAAGGTGGCATTTGCCAGAATTTGCCAGGCCAAGTAGGGAAGGGACGTGACAAGTAGCAGGAACAGGTGATGCAGAGTATTGGAATCCTGACGATTGACTGCTTGGAAGGCTTGGGGGTGCAGCAGTCAAGAGCCCAGACCCTGGGCTTGATGGCCAAGTTCAAACCCTGGGTGTGACTGGAGGCAAGTCACTCATCTTGCCCTCTGTGAGATGAGGGCTGTAGTGGCACCTGTTGTGAGGATTAAGTGAGAATGCAGACCAAGAGGACTAGTGCAGCACTGGGCACGTGAAAGATGAACCCAGAGGGTCCCACGTGTGGAGGTTGGTGGACAACCAGGATCCTGCAAGTCGGGCCCTGGGAGGGTGCAGAGAGGCAGGTGAAGGGGAGATGGAGCTGGGACTTGCGTCCTTTGGCAACTGGACACCAGCAGCAGCCTCTTGAGCAATGACACAGTTGGCCAGCTTTTGTGCCCAGAAGGTGGCGGGTAACTACTGGGCTGTCAGATCTCTTTGAAATTTTGGTTGCCAGCTACGAGGGCAGAATCCAGAATTGCCAGTGAGGTTGCTAAGATTCCATGACTAGAAAGGAGCATCGGGGGCGCTACTGCAGACAGAGATAGGGAATACAGGTGAGGGAGCCCAGTAACAGAATCCTTTGGCTCTTTCAGCCAGAATTGGAGGACCCTGTCTAGGAAGGCTACCCAGAAGACAGTAGACGAGGGGCCCCTGTTCAGGGCTGCAGTTGGGATGGAGGCTGAAGACAGGGTGCGGGTGGTATGGGGGGTAAATAGAGGCAGGTGGAAAACAGCTGCGGTGCCCCAAAAAGTGAGGGAGGGAGTACCTGCCAGGCACTCTCATCACAGTCTGTCCCCGTGAGGCCAGCACAGGTCTGGGTCTCTGATAGCTCTGCCCCTCGCCTCACCCCCTCCCAGCTCTCAGCCTTGTTTCCTGAGCTCTAGTTGCAAGTTGGTGTGCAGTGAAGATAGTGTGCGGGAAACGAGGCAGCGGGGGGCTGGGGTTGGAAGCTCACCTGTGCCCCCCACTCCCCTTGCCAACAAAGCAAGGAGAGCTACCCACCCTCAGAGCTGACCATCTCTGGACCCTGGGCCAGGGGAGTGGGCAGCCAGTGAAGCCTGCGGGAAGGAGGTCACAGTACTGACCTCACAACAACAACAGCACCCCAGCCATGCTCCACAGCCCCCTGAGTAACCATCACCTCAAACAGCTTCATTTTCCTTCGTTTCCTGGCACAAAGTTACTTTTGAAAATGTTAATCTTCCTGTTTAAGCCATAAAGTCTGTCTCCCCCAGCCTGCAGAGTTTGGTGGGGGGATGCAAAGCGGAAATCCTGGAAAGAAAGTAGGTGCCCAGCTAGGATACCAGTCCTGCCTCCCAGACCCTCTGGCTCCCTCCCCTTCCCTGCTGGAGTCCAGCCGCCCTCTCTCCTGGGAGGGCAGACAGACAGGAGCCTTCTCTGGTCTCCAGGGAACTCTGAGTGACAGCTGACACAGGTGAAAGGGTGGAGCATCACCTCCTCCTGGCTGGCGTGTGGGGGGAAGACCCAGTCGAGGCGGAAGCGACGCTGGTGCCCTCGATAGCAGGTGGTGACAGTGCCACCCGGGCCGGGCTCCAAGCTCACCAAGTTGGAGGGTGTGCCTGGCCTCAGCCGACAGAGCACACGGATGTTTCCTGGGGTGGAGATCAGGTCAGGGGGCTGCCTCCCAGATCCTGAAGCATGGAGAGCCCCCACGTCCCCCACCTCTGCCACCCCAGCCCTTTTCTCCCCAAGCCTGCCATACCCTTGAGCTCCAGCAGCCTCCCTGGGCATCCAGTTGGGGGCCCTTGCTGTGCCTCCAGGAGCTGAGTCCCAGCCCCGCCCGCTGACAGTGCCCCCAGGGCCCACGATACCTGGGGGCACAGAAAGGTGAGGAAGGGGAAGGCAGTGGGAAGAGAGCGAGGGATGGGGTGCTAAGGGCAATATCCACCACGTGGCCCCCAGCTGTGGGGATCCACAACTTTCAGTGGCTTCAGACCCTTGGGGCATCATTCAGTGGACCTGGGATGGAGCTCAGGGACCCGAGGAGAACCGTGGGCTTCCTGGCAATCCTGTGAGGGATTCACCGTCACCCCAGTTTGCACAGAACACAGTTGTTCTGGTTCCAGAACCTAAGATTTGCAGTAGACGAGACAAGACCCTGGGGCTGGAAAGGAAGGGAGAGCAGGGGTTCCCCAAGGGAAGGCCAGTGACGAGGCTGCACAGAGAACAAGTGCAAGGGAGGGGAGCGAGTGGTCCTGACCTGGCCCCGGGCTTCGCTCAGCGAACCCTGGCAGCTCTGGGTAAAGGTGCTGACCAGTCCTCGGAGGTCCCCACAGCCCTGACGCAAGCTGGCCATGCGAGCACGAAGTCCTGGGGGCAGGAAGGCTGTTGTGAGGGAAAGCCCAGACCCCACAGCCTTCCCATGAGCTCCGGAGCCCAGCCCTTACCTGCCAGCTGCCCGCGCATCTGCTGCAGTTCCCTCCTGCACTTCTGCTCAGCCTCCTGCTGGAGCTGCCGGAGGGCCCCCCGAAGGCCCTGAAGCTGCACCTCCTGCACCCCTAGCTGCCCCACCCAACCCCAGCCCTGTCACTGAGGAAACAGGCACTTACCAGGCTCTGCCTCAGACACCCCCTCCCCAGAGCCCCAGACTTCCCAGCCCCTGGGCCCAGAGCCCACCTGGACTCGGAGAGCTTCTGTGGTGTCCCGGGCCTCTTGAAGCCGGCCCCGGAGCTCCAGCAGTGCCTCTGCCTCCTCCTGTTCCTGCAAGGGGAGTGGGGCAGCTGAACTGTGGAGCCAGGAGGACACTCAGGGAGGGGCACTACGTCTGCCCCATTTTACAGATGAGAAAGTCAAGTCGACAGGGGCTCACAAAGCTGGTCACACATCCATGCCTCCCAATCCATGCAGGGCTCCTTTCCCCAAGTCTCTCTGCTCTCCTGGAGTCAGTCACTGGGAGAAACCATGGACTGAAAGGAGGGGATTCTCCCATGGGCATCAGCCTCCTTGAAGGGGCTACCATGCATTTGCCGCCCACAGTCTGGGCCTCAGGTCTGAAGGGTCAGAGGGGGCTCCCTGCCTCTGCTCCAGCAAGCACAAGGTCCTGAGGAAGCCCAGGCGGTGTTGCTAGAGACCAGGATGCAGGAGCCCCGGGCTGCAGGGACAGTGGCAGCTAAGGGGCAGGATACCTGGGGGGCCCTGTTGGGGGGGGCGGGGCCCCAGTGCAGCAGGAGGTCCCGAGTAAGGCTCAGGCTCTGTTTCAGGGCCTTGTTTTCCAGAGTCAGATGCTGAACCCTTTTCTCCGAGTCTGTCGCCCCCTGGGAGAGAAGGAAGCCCTCAAAACTCACCTGGAGGCTGAGACCCTCTCATGTCCCCCTTGTCCAGCCCCCACCCCAGCAGCCTCACCACTCCCACACGCAGCTGGCCCAGCTCCTTCTCCTGCAGTTCCAGCTGCTGCTTCAGCTCTTCCAGCTGGAAAGGAGAAAAGAGCATCGGGTGGAATGCCTCCTTCCAGTCCCCTTCCAGAGCCCCCCATCCCCCCACCTCCTCCTGGGCCCCTCACCTGTCCAAGGATAAGCTGTTCCAGCCGCTGCCAAGCCCTCTGGTCCTCCTCTAACTGAGGAGGCTGCTGTCCCTGGGCCTCACGCCTTGGTGAAACAGAAGGGCTTTCTTCTTCGGATGGGGATCCTGGGGTGGGGTGGACCCAGTTAGGACAGAAGAGCTCTCTGGCCTGAAGGAAGGGACACCTCACATCTGGCTGCTAGGGTTCTGGTGGGTGTCACTCCCTGGACAAACTCCCTCTTCAACTCACTACTCCTTACGCACCAGCAGGAGTGGGGGGCTGCACCCCTGAGGCTGGCTGCGTCGCCTGGGGCAGGACCTGCCTCCCCCTGGGGCTCCGAATCCATGCCAGGAGGGCCAAGAGCTGACCGGTCACCGTCAACAGTGGGGGAACATCACCAGGCTGGGAAAGAAATAGAAATCAAAGTGGAAAAGGATGGGGGCCGGGTGGAGAGGATACAGGGGTATGGATGGAAATCAGTAGGCCTGAGAACATAGAACAGGTTGCCGTAGAAATCTCAACTCTGCTTACCTTGCTCAGGTCGGCAGAATTCCCGAAGCTCTCTTCCGCCCCCAGCTGGACTGATAGGAACTCCGCAAGACGTACGAGAGCCTCCTCCAGTGAGACCTCGGCCGGACGGCCCTCCGCTGCCCCTCCCGGCCCATCCTCGGACTCCGAGCAGCCTGCGAGGGAGTGGGATGGGTAGGCGTGCTGGGTCACGTGTCGGATGCTAGGCCACTAGCCGGCACCTGCCAGCTCCCTCCCTCCCAATGAGGGCACGGGCACCCCTGCATCTCTCGGACGGCGGCGCTCCCTCGTTGCCCCGGGAGACGCAGCACTTCCGATGCACCAACAGTACCTACCGACCAGGCCGGTCAGCTCGGTCCACAGCTCTGCGGTGGGCTGGTCGGGGCGTCGGCGACCCCCGGGCTTGCCGCGGACACTCTAGGGAGGGAGCGGGGGGGAGTCCCTGAGGCGAGGCCAGGCAGCCCGTGGGGCTCCCTGCCTCCGAGAACTGAGCCCGAGGGGTTGGAGCCGGGCTCTCAGCTTCCAACACCAGAGACGGGGTCCTCGGCCCGGCCCCTCCCCCGCGTCAGCGCCCCGGGACCTACGCAGCGCCGGCCTGCAAAACCGTTCTCCGGAAGGGGGTCGCCGGCCGAGCTGTGCCCGCCCCCGCTCACCTGCGCGGGGTTCCCGGGGTCGGCGGCCGCCGCGGCCCCGCCATCCCTGCGAAAGAGGCTGTAGAATATGTAGATGAGCAGCGAGTAGAAGGCGTACATGAGGGCGCGGGGCGGCAGAGGGCCCCGCTTCGCGCCGCCCCGCGTCCCCGCGCCCGACCGCTGCAGAGCCCGTGCGCATGCTCTGGCGGCCGCCCCCTCGGGACGGCCCCGCACCTCCTCTTCCAGAATCCCTACCGGTCCTCTGCGAAGGACCCCCGCGCGGCTGTACCCACTCAGAGCCTTCCGCCCGCAGGTGTCCAGCCTTCTTTCCCCTCAAGCCCCTTTCTTGGCCCCTCCCCTCACCTCCGCTTCCACCAAGCGCTCCCCTCTCCGACCCCTCCCCTCCACCTCCTTCTCGGCCCCTTCCTCCAACCCCTCCCCGCGCCGCCCTCCCCTCCCCTCAATACCCTTCCCCGGCCCCGCCCCCTCCTCAGCCCCTCTCCTTACCGACCCTTCCTCCAACTCCGCCCTACGTCCTCCTCGGCCCCTTCTTCCAACCCCTCCCCTCAATGCCCCTCTCCTCACCGCACCTTCCTCCAATCCCCCTCCCCCTCCCCGCCCCC